AGCAGCACATGCCTCCCCTTTTTGCAAACGTGTGAATAGAGGGTGTTACCGATGGAGCAGAACATGCTTTCCCTTTTCACCAACGTGTAAATAGAGAGTGTTACGGATAGGGCAGTACATGCTTTCCCTTTTCACCAACGTGTAAATAGAGAGTGCTACCGATGGAGCAGCACATGCCTTCCCTTTTCGCAAACGTGTGAATAGAGGGTGTTACCGATGGAGCAAAACATACTTTCCCTTATCGCAAACGTGTGTTGTAAGGGGGTTACTATAGGACTAAATCGTCCATTTTGAATTTATAATGAGGTCCATGGTTTTGAGTCCATTTTTAGATGATGAGTCACTGCTCTCTATTGTATATTGAGATCTATTGTGTGAACGCCTGGTGTGTCTATTTTTAGACTCGGGTGGGTAATATAAGGTCCCCCAAACAGCCCTCCATATCATTCTGACTTCAGTCGGACAACGTCCCTTCTCCATTCTTTGTTCTTGACTCTACTGGTTCTATTGGCCTTGAAAATGGAAGCCGTCTACCGTGAGAGTTGTGATAACGAGGCCCTGGTAACACTTCCAAATCCCAGATGCCATTTACATCTAGGGGACGACGTCTATGTGACAACCAAGACATGGAATGGAAAACTAGAAATTCATGTGAGGAAGTACGAAGTATGCCCGAGTGGCAAGTGCTACCCAACCAAACGAGGCATTGTGCTTACCTTGAAACACTGGCTGGAAGTGTCTCGTGTTCACGTGCAGCTGAAACAGCAGGGAAGGTACTCACACGTCCATGTTGGAGGGAACATGTACGCTTCCTGGGACGACAATGGTATTGATGTGCGACAGTGGGAGAATGATCAGAAAAGAGGTAGAGTGATACCTACCAACCAATGTATTCTGTTGTCCCTAGATCAGTGGGAAAAGCTGGTAGATTGTGTAAGAGTCATGTTTGACTTTGTGCCAGAACTGAAGGACATGGTACCCTGTATGCTTCAGGACGATCATCAAAACCAGATGGGATACTTCCAGTGTTCCTTTTGCAACCCTAGTGACTACAGTTATTGGGTGTAAAGCCATTCTTGGTTTAGACACTGTACTGTGCGGACGTGTTACCATTGGTCTGGGATATCATGGATGTGTGTGAACATTACCCATTCGACAAGACTGTCGTTGCCGATTGCTGTGCAATCAAGACTGAATGGACTTCATTCCAGAAAAGACTCGATCCGTTTAAAAACTGGCCAGTGCAGATGAAACAGAGTCCTAGTCAAATGGTTCAGGCAGGATTTGTGTACTTAATCAGAGGGGACGCTTGCAAGTGTTTTCAATGTGGTCTTGTTCTCAAGAACTGGGAAGTAGCTAGATGATGATCCCTGGGCCGAACATGAAAAATGGTCTCCAGATTGTCCATATTTGGCCCTGGTGGGAGTACCTCAGCAGGAGGTGACCCGCTGGGGTAGTCATGTGGATTTGCAACGAAGAGTGTGATGTGAAATGTGTGACTATTGGAAATAAATCAATGTTAAGAGTATGTCTGCCTTGGCTGTCTATGTATAGTATAAATAGAGGTTTACTCAAATACTAATCTCACTGAGATCCCAACCGCGATAAGAGTTTGTTTGCTAGAAATACTATGGCTAGGTACGTGTTGAAGCATTATGAATTTTTAAGGGTCATGTTAATGTTTCAAGACATTGAGGAGATTCAACAAGACATCTTGGAAATGAACAGAGAACAGATTCTTGCCATCAATGGTATTATCAATAGGTTATTAAAGGGAAGATTACCAGTGACTCGATATGAAAGGCGTCGTTTCCTGAGGAAAAATGATAGAAATAACTATCTAGCGGTGTTACGAAGATTAGTTCACCCCCTGTGGACAACAGACAGTATGTGGAAGAGGCTTTTTGCCAGTAACATGCCAATCGTAGTATTTGTTTTGAAACCACAGTTTGTCAATGCAATTAGAGATGAGGCCATTCAAAATGCCTGGTTGTTTGATTGAGCATTGGCTTAGTATGTTTGGTACACCCGGTTTAGTTTGTCATAGTAGTGCATCCAAACCATCCTGGCAGTGATGTTGAAAGCTACACCACGCCCAAGGTCAATGAAGATATCTATATAACAGGCAACAAGGGCTATCTAACTTCATTTAGTCGTGGACCAGTGACAGTGACACATCACCTCAAGCCGCTCCCGTTTTCACCATGAATAATCCACGATACAAACTCTTCATACCGGATGCTGATAAATGGACACGGTTTTACATGCTCAGGGCTGAAGGGAAAGGAGACCCTTATCATTCTATGTCTGTCGATCGATATTTGGAACTGTATGACCCAGAGTGGAAGAAAGACAAACAAAAAACAGAAACCACAGAGCAACCTAAGATTAATTTTGTTACCCCTACTCAACAAGTGGTCGAACAAGCTAAAGCCAAGTTGAAGAGAGAAAGGGAAAGTGTCGTCAATAGGGAAAACACAAAGCGAATGAAAACATATTTTTAAATAGAGACAAATGGCTAAATGTGTCATTTGTAGTAGGACTGTTGACGTGTGAACATCATTATGCATCCCTGTCCCGTATGCTCCAAACAATATGTTTGGGCTCATGACTTGTCCAGTCATATTCGAACAAAACATCCAAAAGATATCAAGCAGCAGCAGCAGCAACAGCAGCAGCAGCAGCCGTCACCACCACCGCAGCAGCAGCAGCAGCAGCAACCAGTGCAACCACATTCATCAGAAAGTATTACCCAGTCATTGGAAGAATGTAGGCTGCGACATCCATTCACCATGATCGTCTCAGGGCCAACCTCCTGTGGGAAAACCTACTTAGTGAAACAGATTCTAGAAAGGATGAACATTAAACCTTATCCTGGACGTATTATATGGCTCTACAAACGATGGCAGCCCTTGTATAATGCCATTCAAACCAATGTTTATCCCTATGTGGAATTTCATCAAGGCATTCCTTCTGATCTCAAAAAGGATGCATTTCTGGACCCCCATGTGGTGAACGTGGTTATCTTCGATGACTTAATGTCGACAGTGAGCAAAGATCCACGCATTACAGATCTGTTTACGAAAGGAAGTCATCATCATAATCTCTCAGTGATGCCTTCTTTGAACCAGAATTTGTATTTCAGTAAGGATCCCACACAACGAAGAAACTGTCATTATCTGCTTCTGTTCAACAACCCTATCAATCAACAACCCATCATGACTTTGGCGAGGCAAATGTATCCAGGTAACACAGACCATTTCATGGAGCCGTTTCAAAGGGCTACCCAGAAGCCTTATGGCTACTTGTTGGTTGATCTAAAACCCCAAACACCTCCCCATATGCGACTTTGTCCCAATGCATTCAGTTTAAAGGACACCTCCCAAGCCACGACAATTCAGTCCGAGTTAGATGTTCAGCGTGAGCAGACGTGTGACGAAAACCTCTCAACCATGCCATCTTGTGATGCCTGTGGACTCATGTTTCAAGATGTGCAAGATTTGCAAAAACACAGAAGAAACTGGTGTCCCGAAAAGTCTTCAGTGGGTCCTCCTGGGATACCCCAAGTGAAAAGGCAGTGGGAGGAAGACAACACCTTCTCACCTGTGAAGAGACCACGTCCTCTGGTGGACTGTGACTATTGTGGTCAAGTGTTTAGCACTAACCATAACTTACAAAGACATTTACACGATAAACAATGTCCTGAAATGGAAAATGAGGATGATGATGTTGAATCATTAAGCGATGTCACACACAACAGGAAAAATAAGATGGCTGATCTTGAAGAGCAAGGTATAAGACAAATGTATTCATGTACGCATGAGCTGAATAAAGACTTTTTGAATGAGAAACGACAGCTGTACATAAAAAGAGGTTTAAACGAAGACATGATTCAAGCCAAACTGAACAAATTGATGTGGAGCACGTTTAAAGAGACGTATGCCCGATTTATTACTTATCTGTACCATATGCAGTATGGTCAAAAGACACAAGGAATACTGAAACAAGTAAAAGACAGAAATAATATGTATCATGAAGTGATTTCAAAATTGTACCAATATAAGTCTTGGGTCGAAGGCATGACTGAAGATGAAGACATATCATCTGATGAAGAGAGTGAAGGACAGGTGGATGATGATGAAGGGTAATAAGACAACAAATGTAAAGTAGGCATTTGGGAGAGCTCCTATCCTAATGTCTACTCATTTGAAACGGAGCTAATAAACAATGAAATATGTATATATCTCTTGTTTCTTAATGTATTGTACCTCTGAAGGTCTGGGTTACCCTTCAGTAACCCATGCTTGTCATAAGAGGCGACAAACGGGATCGGGTGGTCAGGCTTGCTGGTTGACACATGGCACATTGTGTAGAATGACGCTCATGCTGTTGATTACTGGATTGTCTGGGCAATTATGTACAGACCACCACCATAGAGCTGCTAAGAGTACTAAACTCACTGAATGTATTGCTGGAGGATTGACATAAGACAACTATTGTACAATTCTTGGTTTTTATAATACCAATTTCAACCCTATTTCACTGAATCCACAGAAATGTTTAACCTCCTCATACTATTATGAGACATAAAAGATAACAACAATTGTAATGATCTGTAATGAATATATTCATATATAAGCGTTTTGGACATGTAGCCATTTTGAGTCAGAACCGTTTGCGAACCGTTTTGACCAAGTTTGACTGAACCGGTTTGGCAGAAGCGGTTTTGAGACTGAGACAGGTAAGGGGCGTAACTCTAGTCTACTGAACCCACGTGCGTGGCGTTTCTTTGTCTGATCTTAGAAATGGAGGGAAATTCATGTCCATGGATGACACAATACGAAATGTGTGGAATTTGTGCAATGGATTATTCTATATCGTGATGGGAATGTTCAATATTTTGATGGGATAATACGGAGGACAATAATTTGGGAGTTTACCGTTCATGATTTTCATGCCGATGATGGGGCAGATCACGTATGTTTACATTGACATGTTTTCGGTATCATACTGGTATGTATGAACTGATGATTATGATTTTAATCCCATCGTCATCTATATTTGACATTGACATGTTTAATATCACCACACATAGTACACGATGTGTTTGATGTAGACCATGGCTCGAATACGAGATTATGAACTATATTTATACAAAGTGACTCGAGATCGGAGATGTTTTACCATAATTCATCACATACTATGTAATCACATAATGATTATTATTTGTATCTGCCTTGTTGGTTCTTAATAATGATTCAGGCATGGTTATCAGTATTATTATTTTTTTGTTTTTGTGTTATTAATTGTTTTCAATGACTCAACAACTATTTTATTGTAACTGAAATAACAAGAAATAAAGTAAATATTGTCACTACATATAATTGTATTTTTTTTTGTATCTAGATGCTGTTTCTTCGTTTTATTATTACAAACGTTGAGAGCACAACCAAATGTTTTCCAGGTGACTACAGACACCCCTGGCCTATTGTTAGCACTGAAGAAATGAAGGATGCTAACATAGTGTGGTACAGTTGTTCAATGCCGGTAATCGAACTTTAGGAGTCTTCTCTTTGTGAAACTAGTGGAATTTTCCAGCACCAGCTGCCAACCTTAAAACATGTTGGTCATTTTTGGTAAACTTGAAGAGAAAATGCGGGTCATTGATGGAAAGTTCCAGGGTTTGGTACTGGACGTTCTTTGTGTCAATATTCCCTATTTAAAACCCCCGGGTCCCCCTTCCTACACACTTCACCCCTGGCTCATTCACTGTTGTACCCGACAAGAAAAACATGGCAGAAGAATTTTTGGAACTGTAAGTATTTCTCTTTTTCTATGTTACATTTTGATAATTATTGTGAAAGTAATTTCATCATCACAAAATGTTTTCTGACTATCATTTCACATGAATCCTTATGACGATAAGACTAGTGTAAAATGACAGTCCTAAAATCATTTTTCATTATGGAATTTCAGCCAAGACATGATTGAGGAATTTTCCCCAGCCTCCCCCCACTATTCTGACATCACGGATTGGGATACAGAGTAAGTATGCTATAAAATAGTTATATTTTATTACAAGTATTCAGTTAATCATTGGTAATGTTGTAAAACACAATTTCTAAGATAAACAGTAGGCTCATTTTTTCACTAATGTCATTTTTTGCTCTTTCAGTGATATTGATGACAGCCTTCTTTTGGAAGCTACTGAGGGCATGAGTACTTCTGTGGAGTAAGTAATATTAATTTGACAATGATTTAATACTATTGCATGTAATACATGATGTAAAAGAATTAACATAAATCCCACCAAAATTTTTTTTTTGGGGGGGTGTGATTAGGTGTTAATTTAGGTATATTGTTCTCATTTTCAATGATGATGACTGTGTCATCACAGGGGTGGACATGCCTGTTACCCCATCCGTCGCCAACACCAGTGACGCCACCACTGAGGGGGCATCCTCCCGATCCTCCTCCTCGTAAGTGTATATTAGATACATTAAAGTTATTACTATCTGAAGTAAATGTATTATCATCATATACAGGATTTTTATCTTATTTTGTTCCTTATTTTTTTCAGTCCAACGGAAGTCTTCCAGACCCATATAGAGTGGAGAAGGGGGCAGGTGAAGAATCGAATATGGGCTCTTCAACATGAAGAGTCCTTATTGGACATCTTAGAGATTATTATTAGAGATTATTAGGTTTTTGTAGTGTTAGTTAGTGTTAGTTTTGTATTATGTTTAATTTGTTATCTTTGTGTATATATTGTTAACTTTTGTTCATATATGTGTTTGTGTAAATAAAGGTGGCCATGGGTGGGCAAATGATTCATTCATTGTGGAGTACAGTCATATCACACCTGTTACTTCACATGAATGGGTTACTTGTCCCAACCCATCAAAACATCTAGACATGCTGGGAAAAAGGTTGTTGAATATATTCTCAGTATTCGATATACCTGCTGGACTGGATATATCCGTTCATGGACATATGTGTGGATACAATGGATATGTGTGTGAATCGATCTGTTCATTGACACATGTGTGAAGCTTGTGCTAAGGGATTTCCTATGGATCACATGAGGTAACACAGCAAAAATAACTTCGTTTCCATTTTTGCGGAAACCTAATGGATACTGGGTAATGTACATTTCCGCTAGGTTTCAGCATCCGGAAACAGACAATGTGAGTTTCCGCATAGTTTACCAAACTGAAACTAACAAATCTAGGTTTCCGTCTGATTTCTACAACTGAAACTGTCATTATGAGTTTCCATTTAGTTTCAGGTCGCTGAAAGATTCATAGTAAAATGACTTAGTTTCTGTTGCTACGGAAACCTATTGGATACTGGGTAATGTAGGTTTCAGCTAGGTTTCTGTACCCGGAAACTGACAAGTCTGTTGGTTTCAGCTTAGATGAAATGGCAAACTTAGCTTTGTGTTGTTCCATTGGGGGCTATGTTAATTTACTGTTACACTTGTAAAATAGTTTCTATATACAGTATCCAGCTAGGGCCCATGCAGGGAGGAAAAGCAATATAGCCCATTTTTATACTGTACTGTATAAGTGTTTATGGTTATATGTTTTTAGTGTACATTTGTGATAGACTAGTTATTTTACTGTCTTTCGCAGACAGGCAATTTTTTTTTATATAATGCACACATTAAAATTAAAATTTTCAAGGTTAGTTTAAGCGACTGAAAACTACCGGAAACCAACAAAGTTAGTTTCCAGAAACGGAAATTTAAAGTAAAGTATCATTGGTAGTTTCCATTGCATAAAGCAGCTTGAAACCATCATTGATGGGAACGTCAATGAAACGAACGTAGAGGAAATTACTCCATATATACCAGTATATACAGCATATAACCGACATTAACCTACGTTAAACTGTTTATGTATTCCATGTATGTAAGTTTCAGTTTAGTGATCTCAGTGTATTTGTACACCAGAATTCAAATAAAAGATACTGTCACATGAAAGGAAGAATAATTTCAGGAAAAGTTAAACCATATTACGGAAACTTAAGATTCTACTTTGTCTCCTTAACGGTTTGTTAGGTACACTCACAGATGCCTTAAACTTTTAAATTACTGAGGAACCGGTAAGGCTCCATTAGGTTTCAGTTACCCATTGGCTTTCCATTTGTTTTTCTCAAAGTGATACATACTAATACAACTAACTGGGAGTGGTTATGCACATTACACATAACTGTACTAAAAAGGACAATAGTTCGTAAATGTCCAATAAAGAACATAATACAGGCTTCAATAAATTACAAAGTAGACTTATAGATATAAAATATGTTTAAGTTTAACGTCATCTGCCAGTGGTGAAAAATGTTGGGATTGAAAGAAAATGAAGTCAATGAACGTTTTGCCTTTTAATTATAGCATTATCATTATTGATACATTATCATATTTATAAGCACTTTGGAACCTCATAAATTTATTAAATGGCTTTCTAAATGTCATAGAGTACCTAAAATATAAGGGAATCAGTTTACAACCTGAAAAATCTAAGAGATGTTGTTGAGTACGCCCCTGGATTGTCAGAAGAGGAGAGGTGGGGACTTATAACTCACGTGAACATTGTTGTTTGTGGAATAATTTTGTTGAATGCTACAAGAAAAATGAAAACAAAATACAGATATCAAACTTAAAACCAACTAACGTTATAACAAAACTAATGGGCTATTACCTTGTTCGAGAAAAGTATCCATCAGTATCCACATAATGGAACGATATGCCATTCATCGGCAGCTGCCCCCAAAAACTGTTCCATGTCACGTGACCGGGTTTCACTGGACACCAAAGATAATACACCTGACAAGTTTTTACATAATGTCACAGTTCTTTAAAAACGGTGCATGTTGTTTTAAGGGATTAGCTTTCTGAAATACGTAGCGAAATAGGTGACACGAACTCACCCCTCGTTCACTTACATGATGAAAATCAATGAAATTGAACTCACTTAGCTTGTTTTGATTGATATGAGTAAGCACCAACTCATCAATTTTGGTAGATAATATGCTGGCCATACTTTCAAATTCATCACTTTTATTATGGCAAAACAGCAGTTACATGTGTAAAGTAAAAGTTCATTCCGACTTCACGAGGCTGTATGTATGGATGGTACGCTTTAGAGAAATGCTCAACTTGAATGTCCTGGGTATGTTGTAGAGTCTCAGCTGTCTCCACTGTAGATGATATAGTCACCATACATCCTGACATACGTAACCACGAACGTGTCAACAATGATATAAAGGTATAATTTATAAATATCCGCTGTGACAATAAATACAACATGTAAGATAAATTTTACAATACCACTGATGATTTGTCAACAGGAAGAATAAATGTACTTGCGTTCGCAGAAGCAGTTTCATACTTATTGAAACTGAAGTGTAGACTGGATGTGTACTATGTACATGTATTATGAAATTGTTTTATCATTATGATGATTAAAATAATTTGTGCCAAGATGTCATTTTAATGGATTTTATTGTTGTTGCCATGTCATGAATATGTAAAATATTATCTAACATCTGGTATTTTCTACGGATATCACTTCGTTGTACAATTCATTTGGTTTTCAACTTGGGAATTTAGTGTTACCTGCATGCCTATCATCACAGATTATGTCCATTGTTCTCCAAGTGCAGTCAACCTGAAAATCCCTGTGTGTCGCCCTTATTGTTGTTACAAACATCACAAATGTCTACGTCACGGTACTAAACCTCTTCAGTATACGTTAGTAACTCTACAAACATAAAGACTATCTTTTGACGGGCCCTTTTGACAAAGACGTCGTGCAAGATAAAAGTAATAAATCAATTAGCGTGTTATCGGTTAATCCTTTCATCTGTGTTTGTTTTTTTAACTCAGCTGATAATTCCTTTTGCTGCACCTGCATGCATATATTACATAACATGTAGTACTATACCTGTTATAAGTTCACTAGATGACCATCAAGTGAATGATGACAAATATACGGGTAAAATCGTTGTATTGCATGCAATATTAATTGCCTACAGAATCTTAGGGAACTACGCTGTATGGTTTTAAAATAATAGGTCATCAACCATCATTTTGGTCATGATATGATTCAATATCAGGTCAAAAACACAGAAATAGGATCAATTTGGATCGGTCATATACAATCAACGCATCGGAAAATCTGAAAAAAGCTTATACTGACTGCTTGAGTACTTTATTACGGGAAATACATCCACCGTTCTTATTGTTTCATTCTTTAGGTTGAGGAAATTCTGTCATGGTTGACAGCTGACCAGTCCCTGGGTCCGTCACGGTCGAGGTAGCATGTGCTGCCCACCTGGCAGTCAGACCACATACTAAAATTGTTGTCCCGAAACCGGAAGCGCTTGATTTGGAAAGAACGAGGCCTTGCGAGATGTGACGGACATTGTAAAAACAAACAATTTACATAAACACATATTGCAGTTATCAGTGTTTTTCCAAGCTTGTGAAGGGTAAGCAGACTATTGGCATGTTAACAATAGAAATGAAAAAAACAAAACCTAATTGACTACCCATAAGTCTTTGTTTGAAATGCGGCCATCTTTGTTTAAACGTACACGCGCGAGATTGGAAAAAACTTCGTTGTTGTTTTCAAGTAAGTCTATGAGAGTAAGGTAGTAGAAATGGCAGTCTGTATACTTGCTATAGTTTTCTTGACACGTAGCAACAAACTTGACAATCGAAGCTTTGGAAAAAAGGATCCGGGAACTCAAGCGATCTCAACGGAAACCCAAGACAGAGAAATTGGCAGGTAGGTTTCAGATAAAATTAATTATTATCTTCTTATCATAGCAGTCAGTTTGCATCGAATTAAACGTTTTCGGTAGGAACCTTTATGTTACAGTAACGGTGCATCTTACAGTAACGGTGCGCTCGCTTTTCGATTTCTCCCACGGTTATTAATGTGGACATTGCATTTTGGTGTGAAATCTGTTAAAAAACAACACTTTTGTTGATACCAGCTGAACCGTTAAAATATAACCATAAGACAAGTATACCTTTGTGTTCCTGTACGTTGAGTCTGATGTTTATATAATATTTATTTCCTGCGGCAGCTCATTTTGTTGCTGGGCACAACCAACACCATAACCAAATATTTATTCTTCAGTAATTTTGTCTCAGTCTTATTCTTTTCTTGTCGGACTATTTCAATTATGTATCCAGCTATATTGGAACCGTGTACTGGA